TAACACCTTGCTGAAGGTCTCGTCTATGCTTCAGAGGACCCCTGATCAGGGAAAGTACGTGATCTTCTATTTAATCCTTTGCTTTGTAAAACTGGGAATATTTTGTTCATCGCATGACTATTTTTCCAAAATAAGAGCATCTTTAAATTAAAAAAAAAAAAGTCTTTAGACAGACTTCCTCTGAGATACAGTGTAATGATAGCAAAAGTGACCCAGAATTAATGATTCCAGAATTTCTCTGCGTTTCCCTTGCAACGTGGGGCCGCTTTCCCAGCCTTGCAGAGGTTTTTCCCTCATCTGTAGAGATTCAGTGGGAGAACAGACCATGGCAACTTGTCACCCTGTGGCCACCTCCTTGCGTAAGAGCTGTGTCCAGGGGAGCAGGTCGTGGCCGCAGCACCTCATGGCCCTGTAATCCCTGGCTGGCCGAACAGTGGCTGTGTCTCTCCTGGCAGCTGCTGCTATTTAAAAAACTTATCCTATTTGGGGGTGACCTAATTGTAATTACATTAACCCTATTTAAGAAGAAGCCATTTAATGTGGGCTATATAGAGATTCTTAGCATCAGGAGGACCAAAATAAACCTCTAAGGAAAACACTGAAGCAACTGAGCTAAAATCCAGTGTGCTGTGTGGGAAATGTTGAAATCAGTCTCTGACAAGAGCTTAAGAAATTGAACTGAGTGACTGATGGCAATAAGTGGAAGGCATTGGAGGTTTCTTCATGCGTTTTTTGAGTGTGAGTGCATGCGCACTTGCATAGGTCGTAGTATGTCTGGGAATATGTCAGTACATGTTCAGGAAACTTGAAGCCAAAAATATTTTGACTTTTAGCATATCAGAAGTACTGGACCATAGATGGCTTAAATTTTGTCCTAGACGGGCCCACAGCTGTGCTAAAAATATTATGTTATTTATAAGTCTAGACTGAATTTAACAAACAAGTAATTTGACATATTGGATCAACCAGTGCCAACCATGGTGAACTGCGGTCATCACAGGAACTTAGAAATGCAAATAATCTGGGTGTGCCTGGTATAAGCCCCTAGCAGCTCTAATTTTGAAAGTAGGGGGTTTTATTCCAGTGGAACTACTAGCTGTTACTAAACTAGTGATATGTCAAATATTGGTATCTTTTGTCTCAACGGCGAAACAGAAAATTACTAAATGAGTGTAAGACATCCAAAAGAAAATGCTTATATTAAAATTGGTGACTTTCTGGCTAGATAATACCCTTCAAAATTATTTACTTCATTTTTTAGCTATTTCTCATTAGAAATAGACAGTTCTGAAATAGAAAATTAGATTTCCATCAAACTCGATTAGATGAGGGTGAAGGCTGGAAATAGTTTCTTTGAAAGTGGAATAAATGATCATGTCATGATGCAGTGGGATTGCAGTGCTTTAGTAGAGTAGATGAGGCTGTAGTGTGAATAAATTTTATAGTAATTATATTACTAAATGGAAAAAGAAAAGAATGTTAGCTCACCAGTGTTTTAGCTCTAAAAAGCTGAATTCACAAGCGACTGGTACAACCTATGAAAAAGGATTTTTCTGGTGTCATTAGTATTATTTGCAATAACAAAATTGTGACTCTGTCTGTTTTGCTCTGGAGTTTTTAACACTTCCTTCCATTGCCGAATAATGCTACCCATTTACTTTGTGAATGTCATCATCCTTGATGTTAGATAAAGTTGTAGAAAAAGATATATTTATTTACATGTGTGCATGTATCCTGGTTCTTGCTTTTAAAGCCTGATAAGCTTTTGGCACTTAGCTGCATCTCTGGTCTCTTCCCGCGGCGCAGGAAGTACTTGCGTGATGCAGATCGCCAGGTTCTGGCGCAAAGAGCCTTTGTGCTCACAGTGAAGGTGCTGGAGGACACGCTCAACGACCTGACGCAGGTGAGGCAGCAGGGCCTCTGGTGGGCATTGATTTAGTGCTTAGGTGCCCCCTTCCTTGGCTCTCCTGAGGCTGAAAAGCTACATCCTATTCTACTGCTGTTTGTTTATAAACAGCTACACAGAAAACTTTCTTAGAACATTGCTCTGTTGCAGAGTTACAAAACCCAGAAACATCTGTAGTGGTTAAGAATGGGTAATAGTCAGTTTGATGTGAGTTTCCCTTAAATTTCAAGCAAGGAAAATGATGTGGACTGTGAGAATGCCTGCATTTGCAGGAGGTATTTGATGAAACATTTCTTTTTAAATGAACTAAAGTTCTTGTGGAACCAAAACACAACTAGATTCAGCCTTCCTGGTTGTTTTTAAGTGCTAGTCCTTGAAATCAGCATACTTGTTATTACATATAAAGACTTAATTTTAAAATGTTATTTAAAGACTAATTAGTTTCCAGGTTAGGATAACTCAAACTTGGAAGCTACAGACAATAAATACATTCAAGGAGGGAGTTGTCCCCTGGAGTTTTATGAGTCCACAGAAGATAGGCTTAACAAACTAAATGAAAATAAAACTTAAGAACAACTGGAACTCTGTAGAAATTACAGTTCGTCCATAAATCTCAATAGCAGAATTACATCATTAGCAATTTTTGAAGTACTGAGGTTTTCTGCTTTAGATTGTCACCAAAGTAAAGGCATAAAATTCAGATATTATAGCAGAGTTTAACATACTTCTCAATCGAATCGTAAGAAAAAAGTTATGAAAGGGTAACCAAAGGGAAGATTATGAAATTTAATTTGAGGTTGATCTGCAGCTGCCAAAAGAAGCAGGCTCAGTTTATGTTTCAGTACATTAGAAGAAATTAAAACCTTGGATTTCACATAGTTAGATACCACAGTAGATTGAAAAAGGAGAAAAAAATAATTGCAGCTTTGGTTCAGTCCGTGCTGTTGATTTCCCTGCAGCATTTTTGCTGATTAAAATATGTTAGTCATAAGACTTGTGGCTTGTATTAATTAATTTCTACAAACAAACAGTAATGAGCATGGAATAAATGCATTTTCTTCAGCAGAGACAGTAATGTAGAGGTATTTATGGTTAATATTCACGGTATTCATAGTTGCCTCAGATATTTTCTGTAATAATGGCAAAGAATGATTTTTTTTTTAAAGGTTTCAGAAGATCAAGTTTCCAAGTCTTCTAACTTTGCTTCAGGAAGGATGACAACAGACGTCTCTAATAAAACTAGTGCTGAAGAGGGGAAAGATGTCCTTCCCAAAAAGCCAGTTTTGTCAGATGGAGTCGTTCATAGTACTGAAAATGGAGTAAAAGAAGGGACCCAGGGACAAATCCCCAATGCTATGGACATATTGGAACCAGAGAACAAGAATGACAAAGAAATTAAAGAGCTCCCTAGGCCCAGTTCAGTGGAGCCTATGGATCTTGATGGATATTCCAATGACCCAGAAAAACTTGATTCTTCATGTAAACGTGGTGAGCCAGAGCGTCCTCAGACTGGCAGGAACCCGAAGGAGAGAGCCCCAGAGAGCCGGACTGCAGAGCTCTCTTTGGAGGAGCTAAGTATCAGCTCAAAACAGCAGCAGGCAGCTAAAGGAATAGTCCAGGCAGTACCTGTAGAGGAACCTGTGCAGAGAGCAAGCAGGAAGAGGAAGTTACTTGAGGATGTAGAGTCTGGGAAAACACTTCTACTTGATGCTTATCGAGTATGGCAACAAGGTCAGAAAGTTATGGCCTATGACCTGGGTAAAATTGAGAAGATCATGTCGGAAACATACATGCTGATTAAACAGGTAAAGTATTTCATTAGTCATGCATTCTCTTTGTGGCCTCAGAGAGGGCTCTCTGGGATCAAATTTTGAGTTAAGTGGCAGAAAATATTTGTATGTCTTGGCTATGTATCCTTCATATTTCCTTTTGACTTTCTTGGAGCTGCAGTGTATATTCTGTGTGAAGTTCCTTAACATTCTTAATTTTTAAAAGTAATGTTTTGTGGATTTGGCAAAGAGGATGCAAAGGAGGCTTTATTTCTGACTTTTTTTCAAGTTGGGTTCAGTGGTAGCTGACACATTGAACCTTTAGACCCTTTTTTCTGCACTTTGTCAGAGAGTAAGGCCTACAGTAGGATTGATCAAATAGATCTGTGGCAAGTTTAAAAAAAAAAAAAAAAAAAAGATTTCTCTGTCAGTGGAACACGATTAAATCCAAGAATCACAGTAAACACCAAACCAAGCAAGATAAAATTGATCTTATATACAGGGAATAATTGGGAGGATAAATATTGCCTAAAGAGCCACTCTCTTGACAAGAGTGCTTCTAGAAGGGAAAAAGTTGTCTTCTCCATGGTTTCAAAGTGAAGAGCCCAGTCCTAAGTTGCTGAAATCAATTAAGAGCTCTCCTACCAGTGGCACACATTTTTTTCGTACTAAATGGTAGTTAAAATTAAGAAAATATGTGTATTTTTAGATGTATATTACTGAAAAACTTCAGCTCACTCCTGGCCCAGAAGTGCTGCCTTCCCCGCTTTGCCCCACATCAGCATTTCATCTGAAGGTTGTTGGATTTATAGGTAACCTAAGTAATTAAGACTTCATTATTTGTGATTCAGGTGGATGAAGAAGTAGCACTTGAGCAAGCAGTCAAGTTTTGCCAGGTGCATATGGGAGCCTCAGCACAGAAACAGGTAAGCACTGTAAACCCGTTGGCTCCTCTCAGTACGCTTTTGTTACTTAGTTTGTGCTACCAGGTCCATAGTTGAGTGCTTTTAGTGATTAGAAAGATCTACTTTTCTCATGCTGTTGTCATCTAAGAATAAGTGGGGCCACGTTTGTGGAGGGAGCTCATCCTAAGTCTTTGAAGGCAACAAGCACATCAGTCATTCCCTTACTGACATTGCGCTGTGCTCTTTGGGTACCAAATACCTTTTCTGCCCACTTGCATTGCTGAAAACTGATTTTAACTCAGCTGTAGTGCTCACTTTGAGTTTAGCCTGTGGTTTCACAGCTGCTGATGAAAACAACTATAGGACTTGAAAGACATGGCTATTTACCTGTCCCTAGTGGGAGATAAAGCCAAGAAGGAATTCTCAAGTGGATCAGTGACATGTTTAGTGGTGATTCATTTTGCCAGCAAATCATGGGTTGAAAGTCCCAAAGCATTTGTTGGCTTTTAGCAGCAAAAACCATAATTTCCATAATTTCTGTCACCAGCACATGGAGAAGCGTCCAACTGGAAAATAAAACATTTTGAAAGAAAAATCCATACTGCCAATTAATGTCCCTTTTAATACTTCTCACAGCTTGGTGTATGGTTTATGCTCTGAAATTTAGGCTGTGCTACGGATTGCCATCTCTCAAAAATAATTAAAATAGCATTTTTCTAAAATATTTTTAAAATCTTTTAGAGTCCAAATTAGAACCTCCTTGTCAGCTTTTGGTGTTTCACGTGTGGTCGTAGGTAGCATTCTCTAATGTAGTGTTCTCTAGGAAGCATCTCTAAGATTTTCTCCCCAAGAAACAGCACTGTGCAGATACATTGAATCATTTTCACTACCCATTTAAAGTATAGCCCTTTCAGAAATATCTTGAAAAGGTTTTATGGGCTGCAGAAACAATTTATTCTGGTTTTCTGCTGGTGTCTGTCCTCTGTCCCTCAAGATTCCCTTTTTCTATAACTTCATATTCCCATTACATGTCTTGCCCAGTAGACTTCTCATCCCATGTCTTGCCAGATGAGTAGCCTGCACATATCCAGACAGACAGTATTCTGGTTGGGGGAACATGGAGAATTTCCTGCTTTTCCATCATTTCAGTCTTTGTCCTTGCCTAGGCACTTATTTTTGTAGAATGGAGAGACCCTTCAAATTTGGTTGAGGTTTTTCTTCTGCAAGATGCATCCCTCTCTGCTGTGCCAAAGCACAACCTTTTGAGGAGGTACACCCTTCAGGTTAGCAAGTTAAATACTGCTTTAACATCAGGTGAGTTTGAAGAACTAATTCACCTGATTTTCTGCAAAACAAATACATTTCTAAACTTTCAGATAATTATATCAAATAATTTCTGGGGCAAATCCAGTATCTGTCACAAAAATACTACTTCAGGTCTTTTTAATTCTCTTTAGCCTGATCTCCAGTGGTGTATATTGACTGGTCCTTCTTTTGCTGTGATAGCGCACATGACGGTTCTCAGAATTGAAACACGCTTCTGTCCCTACAGCTAGAGATGCTGATGGGTAGCAAGAAGGACAGCAAGATGAACCCTGTATCTTACATGCGATTGACAGGTCCTTCTTTTATTTTTTTCTGTCTGGTGGAGCTGAAGAAGGTTGAGGCTATAGGCCAACTCGTGTAACAAGGTCTAGCACTGTCTACCCTGCACCTTTAGGAAAATCAGACGTTTCTGCCTCTTCTGTGGAAGGTTCAGAATGGTTTGGTGAGATGTATTTTGTTTCCATTTGAGAAAAATACCTTCACTAGAGCTTGGACTTTTTCTTTTCACGAGCCATTCCCTTGAATCTATGGGTCCTTGTTCTCCTCTCCTTTTTACGGGGACTGTTTCAGTGCTGTCCTGCCCAGCAGGGTAGATGAGGTTCAAGCCCTGAGGGCGGACTTTGTTATTTGTGGTTCAGTGGTTACTTTCACACTAAATGTCTTACTGAAATGCTGTAGTTTTATTGTTGTTAAGTTTTACTTGTTAAAAGACCTGCTGCCTCATGTTTTTTCCCCAAAGGCAAATATGCGTCTGTGCATTTGCTTATACATTTGTGAACTGAGGCAGATTTTACCTTTCATTTCTTTGAATGTAGAGCTGAAAGACGTCAGGGGTTGGTGATTTCAATGCAGAGAGGGTACAAATAGGTAAGAAGTTCTCATGTAACTGTTACGAAATTGTAGGAAACCTATTCGTAACACTTTCTTCAAGCAGTCTTTTTTTTTTTTTTATCTCTTAAGAGCAGCAGATTCTTGCCCGTTCCCCCTTGCCCTTTCCTTTTCTGCATGTGGTCTGGGTATAAAGTCTGGGGCTTTATTTCATTAGTACAGAATTAAACACTGCCTAACAGTGCATCCAGTCAAAATGTACATTTAGACAGCGTGTCCTAGCATAGCAACAGGACAGGATGGAAGAGTAAAGGGAACTGTGGTTCATTAGCACTTCACAGAAGTTACTTCTCTGATTTGCGCCTGTCAGAAAGACAGTAGTGTTCTCATTGAATGATATAAATGACTAGAAATCATTATAAATAAATAAAAAACAAAAGTCAGAAGAGGTATTCAGGTAGAAATCTTCCTTTGTGTTAGTCTCCTCTTTAAGGGATGATTCATTTTAGAAATAAATCTTGCCTTAGAATGTTAAGAATTTTTTAATTTATCTTGGGGAATAATAAATCATCAGACTGTTTTATGACTTGATAATGAAAAGAATTTGGCTAATACACTTCTTTTTAAAAGTAATAATACTATTTGATTTTGTATATATACCCCTTTTTGAAAGCTATTTGACTCGTAGGTATTAGCTGAGTTCCTTTCTGGGCCTCCTTGTAGTTTCTGGGTGTGTTATTGCTGTGCCAGCCCTCTGTTATGTCCCTCAGTAATTGCTGACTTTGCTCAAAGTGCTAGAATGGTGAAAACCCTGCACACAAATGAATCTCAAGAGTAGTTAGAATAGGTGAGCTAGTATTTAACAGGAAATGTCACTGTTCCCAGTTAGGCCACTTGCAATAAAATACACATCTTAATGTGACGCATTTCTTTAAAACTTGTAAATATTCCCTTTTAGGCAGCAAGCCCCACTACAGAGTTTCTCATACACTGCAGCCTGACTTTCATCTTCTTCAAGCAGTGTAGCTCCTGTAAGTAGTATGAAGCTGCCTTACTGTTGCTAGTGCAACACCATGAGTTAGTTTGAGTTAGTATAGAGCCACAGAAATAGCCACTCCTGTAGACATCTGTCTGTTTTCAACAGACAGAATCCTGTTTTATTTAAAATTGGCAAGTGTTTGCTTCTGTAATCAAATGATGTCATATATAAAGCTGCTACAGCCCAGAGGAGAAGTGCTTTGTTATTAGATAGTTTGAATAGGCTTACTGTGCCTGCAGTTCTTCAGTTACTTATCCTGAGGAATTGACAGATTAAAAAAAAACAACCACAGAAGCCATCCTGACATATGTTTTTTCTGTGCCGGCTGTTGTATTTTACAGTTCCAGTTGCCAGGCAGTATATGGTTTCTTTATGAAGGTTTTCACTTGTTACTAAATTTAGGGATGTTATTTGAATTACCATTTTTCAACTTTCTTCCAGACCAGTTAAAAACGTTTTTAACCTAAATTTAACAACTCTGTTCAAATCATTTTATATGCCTCTTCAGGCACAAGCAGGAAACAATACAAAGTGGTCTGTTGTACTTTTGCGGTGAGATCTAATCTTTTTAGTAGTTTGGCAGTATTATGTCACCTCCATTTTATTTTCAGAAGGTCTCTGTGAGCGTCATGACCAATGCTGGGTCAAGATGCATTAGGCCTCTGCTGTGTTGGTTAAATACACTGGGAAGTACCTTAGAGAGGCTGGCTCCACTCTTTGAACAAGGCAGGAAGAGATGGCGGTGTAAAATCTTGCCATGCTGAGTGTCTGTGCTCCTGAAGAACTGTTGAAATGGAAGTGTTCTCTGCTGAAACATGAAACCACATCAAAAAAAAAAGAAAATAAGGTAGAGGTACTGTTAGGAAATCTTGCTCAGGGTGGTGACGTCCCCCATTCATGAGAGAGGATGGAAAATTCCGTTTCAAAAAAGGGGTCTTTTGTAAAGGTAGTTGCCATTTATAGTTCAGGTTTTGCTTAGGTCTTTACAAGATGTTTAGTGGTGTCTCCTGTGTCTAGTTCTGGGCTCCACAGTACAAGAGGGATGTGGAGCTGCTGGAGAGAGTCCAGCGCAGGGCCACAAGGATGATCAGGGGCCTGGAACATCTGCCCTATGAGGAGAGGCTGAGGGAGCTGGGCCTGTTCAGCCTGGAGAAGAGAAGGCTGGAAGGGGACCTGAGCAGTGTCTAGAAGTACCTCAAGGGAGGCAGTGAGGAGGATGGAGGAAAGTGTCTCTTTTCAATTATGGACAGCAATAGGACAAGAGGAAACAGCTGCAAACTGAAGCACTAAAAGTTCCACAGGAACTTAAGGAAAAATTTCTTGACAGTGAGGGTGACACAGCACTGGAACAGGCTGCCCAGAGAGGTTGTGGAGTCTCCTTCTCTGGAGATCTTCAAAACCCGCTTGGATGCAGTCCTGTGCCACGTGCTCTACGTGACCCTGCGTGTGCAGGGGTTGGACTAGGTGACCTTGAGAGGTCCCTTCCAACCTTAACGATTCTGTGATTCTGTGAATTTTACCTTTAACAAAAAGGTCCACCTGTGTGTGCTTCCTACAGACTTGCATGAAATGCTGCAGCATTGGAGTACCGTGAAGACCCTTTTCAGTTAAACAACATAGACTATCCGTCAAGTCAACTTATTTAGGTCCAGTTCTTCTTTCTGCCAGGAGTAACTGAGGATACTTTTCTGTAGCAAATGCCTTTTGCTTTACTAAACCCTGGGGTTTTGATACTGAATGCAGAAGTAAGATGGAGACCTGAAAAGTTTATTCAGACAAGTTTGCAAAAGCAGTTAGGAGTAGACTGCAATATAAATTAGTCCATTTA